GAGAGAGAGGGAGACAGAGAATCCAAAGCAGGCTCTAGGCTCCACACTGTCAGCCCAGAGCCTGACGTGGGGCTTGAACCCACAAACCGCGAGGTCATGACCTGAGTCAAAGTCACACTTAACCAACTGAGCCACCCAGGCGCCCTTGGGAGGCTTTTATTTTTAAAAGTTGTTACTGAAATATCTGCTTTGCTGATTCTTCAATATTTAAAAACATTTTTTTAAACATATTTTTTAGAGAGGGAGAGCACAAGTTGGGGGAGAGGAGCAGAGGGAGAGAGAGAATCTTAAGCCATCTGCACGCTCAGCACGGAGCCCGACATGCAGGACTCAATCCCATAACCCTGGGATCCTGACCTGAGCTGAAATCAAGAGTCAGGCACTCAACCGATTTAGCCATGCAGGCACCCCTTATTCTTCAATATATTAGCCATGCAGGCACCCCTTATTCTTCAATAGTTAACAGAAGTTTTAGTACAGAGATTTCTGATACAGAAAGGTTGAAAAAGCACACTAATTTCTTAGTCATTCTTATAGTTGATGACTTAACTGTTTCACCACGTGGCTGGCATTTCTGAGTCAATTTTTGAAAGTCTAAGAAAGTAAAAACCAAAATTCTTTGAGAACCAACATTACATTTGTCATTTAATTGACACCTCAGAGCTCACGGCCTCTCTCTTCTCCTCTAGGAGGAATGAGGGAGCACAGCCCTTCATGACTGAGGATCCTGAAAGAGGAAATACAGACAATTGGATAGATAGAACATGGCCATGAAGGAGAGGCTCGTAAGGTCTCTGGCCCATAGCTATGCTCTGAGATGGATTTCTAGGTACATCACATTCCCGTCTCCTTGTATCTTTCCTTGCTACATCAACTACATAAGGATCCCTTGCACTCAGTTAATTGGGACAAACCTTCAATGGACTTCCACAGAACCCCTAGACTTATCTTCTCATCTCACAGAGCAACAGGTTCAAATGGTGAGTGGTTGAAAGAAGTAGGAATGAGACTCTGCCAAGCCAGTGGGCTTCTCTGGTGGTAAAGCCATAACTAGGAGGAATCAACGGACTCAGGAGCTCTCAGAGTTGAACTCGTTTAGCTCTTCCTGATTCTGAGTCAGATTGGTTTGGGTAACTTTCTTCTTCAAGGGCTAAAAGACCTTAAAGAGGCCTCCTAGAGCCAATATAAGGGACTCACCTCTGGCAGATCCAACCAGATAAAGACTCATTAGTAAGAGAAACTTCTTCATCTGGATTTTGGGGAAGAGGGGACCCTGGTGTGGGGCACCCAAGAGCTGTGAAGTAAACCTGTGAGCAGAAGCTCCCAATGCTAGGTTACAGCTTCTGGGAATTCTAGAATCTCAGAGACCACCCGTGTTGCCTCACAATGGGTTTGAGCTTTGAGGTTCTCCTGTAGGCTGCTCAGGCAGGAAGGCCCTCTAACAACCCACGGCAAATTGTGCCAATGAAGACTAATTTGCCATGTGTCAGGTGGTGTCTTGGGGCTCAATCTCTCTGCCCTATCTTTTTTTAAAAAACATCTTATTACCAAAATAACATACTCTCTTTGAAATAAAATTTAGAAGTTATTTACTCTCTTTCAAAAGTGTTCTTGACAATGAATTGTGATTGGCTGATTATTATCTATTTGGCTCTTTAGATCAGCCTTTTTTGGCCCTGTAGGCTGACCTCTATTGATTCGATCACCTGAATGCTAGCTGGGTTTGGCTGCAGACTAAATTTAGCCTTTGGAAGACTGGAGGGGGAAATACACACACACACACACACACACACACACACACACACACACACAGATTGAGATTGAAATATTTCTTCTTTTCCTGCCACAGTTTTGACACTGGTTGGATCTTGACATGGCAAAGCTTCTACAGCTCCTGCTCTTCACCAGGCAGTGGTAACATGTTGGTTTTGGCAAATACATGATATGGGCACAAATAGAGATTGACAAGGGATCGTTGAGAGCTGTGCCTTGAGCTGTAATTTCTGTCAAGGGGGTAGAAGATGGATGCAATGAGGCCTCCACCTGGTATATTGGGGATTGGGTGGCAGAGATCCCCTGGCCCTCACCTCCTACTTCTTCCCTACCTTCCTCCCTTGTAGCACTTTGTTACATGTACTACTGGATGCTGGACCCAGAATAGATGTATTTGTCACTCATAATTATGTGTTTAATATATGTCTCCTCCATTTGACTCTAAACTCCTTGAAGGCAGGGTCCTTGTCTGTCTTGATCACTGTAGTATCCCCACTACCTAGCAGCAGGTTTGCCACAGAATACATACTTAATAAATGCTTCCTGAATGAAGGAATGGATGAATTGTCTTTCTAGACAAGCTGTTCCTCCCTCTTCATCCTACGTCCATCCCAAGCCCTACCCATAGCCAACTTCTAGCTCTTCTCTGAATATGCAATGCTCTCTGCCTTTTCCTAGTGCTCCTCCCCACTTTTCCTGAAATTGTACTTCTCCATCCCGTCTTCCTGATGAGAATTCTTACTCTTTACACACTCCCTAAGAAGCCTTATCATGTCCGCCACCACCTACAAATTGAGGGCTCCTCATATCTGCAAGCTGGCCCACAGAGCCTTCCCTCCTTAGTTCAGATCCAGATTTCCAACTACCAGCTGGACGTTTCTATCCAAGTATTCCCACAACATCTCAAACTCAACATTCGTAATACTGAATTCATCATTTGTACCCCAATTCCGTTCCTGGGACCTTTGGTTCAGTAACGGGCTCCTCCTTCTCCCACTCCTCACACAATACATCAATTTTACCTCTAACTACTTCTTCAGTTTATCAGCCCTTCTCTACTCCCACTGACACAACCCAAGTTCAGGCTCATCCCTCCCCTGCACCACTGAAACAGCTTCTTCTTGGTCTGTTGTCCTCATCAGAATTTTCCTTTGTTCTGTCGCCATAACTGACTTCTAAAACTAAAATCCTGAGCAATGAAGTTCTTCCTAACCTGCTGCAGAAACTCCAAACAAAGATGTCCAAGATCAGGCTTCTCCAGGTTCGGTTTCCACAGCCTTACAGCCCTGCCAGTCGCACAGCACACAAACAGATGGTTAGACTCAGTCCTTTTGAGACCACGCATTCTTGAATACGGCACGAACCTGAGAAGGAGAGGCCTGTTCAAAGGTGGGGACATCCTCTGTTTGGCTGTCTGTATAGATTTGTTCCTTCTGTGATATATCAACTCAAGTCAGGGATGGGCTGTGTGATATTATCACTGGGAATTGTGTGAGTAAAGGGATACAGCAATTTCTACCTTTCACTTTACCAGCTTCTTTGCATGATAGTGACTTAACCCGTGGTGTGCTGGGAGCTGGCTTGAACTGGCGGATGAGAGCTGATGGTGAAAGTTCAGGAATTTTACAAGCTACTTGTCGAACACAGCTATTATTATTTTTTTCAATGTTTATTTACTTATTTAGAGGGAAGAGCACACACGAGTGAGCACAAGCAGGGTAGGGGCAGTAAGGGAGGAAGAGAGGGAGAATCCCAAGCAGGCTCCGCACTGTCAGTGTAGAGCCTGATGCAGGGCTCGCTCTCATAATCCATGAGATCATGACCTGAACTGAAATCGGGAGTCAGACGCTCAACTGACTGACCCACCCAAGCACCCTAAACACAGATATTATTAAAGTTAACATATAAACTGACAAATCATATTAGAAACAGAGGTAAAAAATACTAAAAACCTCATCAATTCTTTATTATTTTACATTTTACTATTATCTGTGCTTATAATGTTATTTAGTACCCTTGTTTGCTGGAAATACTATATAATGGTGGGCACGTGTCTTCTCAACATCCGATTCAGCGATGTCAGGATGGCAGGTGGTAATTTCCATTTGCACCATGGAAATCTATAAATGCTACAAATCGGGACCTTTTTCACTAGCCTCACCCCACGAGCACCCCAGCACACCAGGAGGCTGAATCCATGTACTGTAACCTGGGGAAGGTGGCCAACTTTTCAGGACATTGAAACTTTTCAGAACTTTTCAAGACATTGAAACCTTGCAAATTCCTTCAGCATAGGAACTCATATCTAACAGGACAACTGATAAGTATTTTTAAAACTAAAAGCCAGGAATTCTGTGGTTGAAGCCAGATAAGGAATGATAGTTTGTGCTAATGGTTGCATCCAATGGATGTAGTCTTTTGTCCCCACTGGTTATTGATAAAGGTTATTAGTAGCCATTGTACAAGGGCCTGCTCTTCCCAGCCTGGGAATTCTGCCACCTATGTGACAAACTTAGGTCTTGCCCTGGAATGTTTCCTGAGGCTAGGACCCTGATGCCCAGGACTCCGCCTTCACTGTATGCATCCACAGCTATTCTTCTGATTCCTTGGGAACCAGGCCACCTAATTTTTTATTTTTTTTAAATTTTTTTAATGTTTATTTTTGAGAGAGAGAGAGAGAAGGTGAGGGGCAGAGAGAGGGAGACACAGAATCCGAAGCAGGCTCCAGGCTCTGGGCTGTCAGCACAGAACCTGACACTAGGCTCGAACCCATGAGCCGTGGTGAGATCATGAGCTGAACCAAAGTTGGACCATTAACTGTTAACCAACTGAGCCACCCAGGCACCCTGTGGCCACCTTCTTTTTAAATGTTTATTTACTTTTGTGATAGAGGGAGTACAAGCCAGTAGGGACATTCCTTGACAGTGTTCAGAAGGGGGTTGACTGCTTTCTGATACCACCATGAGCTGTGATGACTTTGTCAAGCTTTATGTAGTTTGTATTAAGAAAGCAAAACTTTTTTTTTTTCCAGATCAGTGTTTTTCTTCTTATTTTTTAAGTTTGTTTATTTTGAGAGAGAGAAAGCATGAGCAGGGGAGGGGCAGAGAGAATCCCAAGCAGGCACCTCACTCTCAGTCCCCGCTGGGGCTTGAACTCCCGGATTGGGAGATCACGACCAAGCCCACGAGTTGGAAGCTTGATCCACTAGAGTAACCCAGGCGCCCCTCCACATCGGTGTTTTAAAATTACACTCAGCCGGTTAAGTCTGAGTCTTCAGCTCAGGTCATGAGGTCATGATCTCGCGGTTTGTGAGTTCGAGCCCTTCGAGTCTGTGCTGACAGCTTCTGTGTCTCCCTCTCTCTCTGCCCCTCCCTTGCTCACGCTCTGTCACTGTCTCAAAAATAAATAAATAAATAAATAAATAAATAAATAAATAAATAACATTAAAATTACATTCAGCAGTGTATAAACGAGCAAAAATCTCTAGTCTGGCATGCAGCCTGCCTGGAAGATTACCCCAAATCTGCTTTTTCAGGTTTAGTGATTTATTTAGCACCAGTGCAGGCACGTATCCATCTCCGTGAAATCAGGAGATTCCCGAGTCTGTGCTCACACCGCATTCAGGGAAGTGGTCTCGAGTCCAGAAAATCCTGGCGTCACGTGCCCCACCCCTCCAGGTTCCTCAGCTCACCTGAATCTCAAGAATTCTTGGGCTGAGCAAGGCGGACACGATTCTCCCATTAAAAGCTGGGGGGGGGGGGGCATGTGACCAAAAGAAGCCGTGAAAGGACGTGGCTCCCCAGCGGGGCCAGTTGGAGGTGAGCGGAGACCCGGAGGCGGGCGGGGAGGCTGGGGCTCCCACCAGGCTCTCTGTTCACTCCAGGGTCTGTGGAAGCCCAGCCCTCAGCTCCCATTGGTGGCCGCTCCCCGCCGGGGGGCATAAAGCCAGATACTCAGGGGCTGACGCCAGTGGCTCTGTCCCTCCTTCTGTGGCCTGGTCTGAGATGGGTGCGCGCCTCCTGCTGCTGGGCCTCTCCTTGTTGCTGGGCTTCCTGCAAGGTGAGCCAGTGCAGGGCCTCTGGAAGGACCTTGGGCACTGGGGCTGGGTGCTCTGTGCGTTGGTGGGTCAGGGGGAGGTGAGGAGCAAGGCACCAGGGCCTAACCTTAACCTCAGAGGCGATCGTGGTCCTTACCTCCTCGCCCCACTGTTTTTCCTCCGTCTCTGCCTCCCCTCTCCGATGCTTCCTCCACTTTTGTCACTGCTTTTTCCTTTCTCCTTTCTCCCCTCTTCCCACTTTTACTTCATCTCCTTCCCACCTCAGTTCTCATCCGATACTCCCCAGTTCCTCAAGCTTTCTTGCCGAGAGCCCTACATTTGCGTAAAAGGGAGCAAAGAAGGTTCTTTGTGGGTGGCGAAGGCAGTGGGGGCCGTCCAGAAGGATTGGGAAGATCGGTGACGGGCCATATGAGGGGGGTTGGCAGAGCTGTGGTGTAGGACTTGACCTTCAGCACAGTCCGTCCCTGGGAGTAGAGGGGCATCCTGTCGTACTGGCCCGCTTGCCTCCTCCCAGGGGTGTGCCAAGCACCCAGAAGTCCCCTGCTCTCAGCCACCTCTTCAGGCCTGGGAACCAGCCCCGTCCAGGCTGCGTGTGGCCCAGAAGGTGTGCTCCCTGCTGATCTGCCAGGAGGCAGTGGTGGCCGAGGCTCATCATGCGGGTTTTGACTTTCCAGCTCTACCATGTCTCCAGTGCCCACGAGTCAACGCCAGTGGGGTTTGCGAGACTGGGGAAAGTGTCTGCGAGACTCAAGGCAGCCAGCGGTGCTTCCTGAGGAAGGTCTACGAAGGTAGGTGGGTCCTGAGAAGTCACCTGGGTGACCCTTGCCTGATCCTGTGGGAGCTGGCTCTCAGGAGCCCTGAGGGCAAAAGCAGAGAGTTTGGGAAGGAAGTTTTTCTTAAAAAGTTGGAAGGGGATTTCCTGGACCTGGTGCTGGACTGCCACTAGCCCTTGACAGGACCAGCAGACCTGTTAGGAGAAAAAGTGCTTGTTGAGGGGTCCCTGGGTCGTTGGGCCGTCCCCATGCTACTCAGGGGTGGGAGGGACTGGCTAAGAAAATTCCAGGGGAGCTTGTGTGTGGTAGTGCTTTTGGGAACTGGTGGCCTTAGTTCAGGCAAGGTAAGGGGTTGGAGCAAGATGGCCCACGAGGGGCTCACCTCTGTCTTTGCAGGGTGGCCAATGTCCCTTATTACCTGGCAGCCCGACTCCTTAGGACTATGTGCTGTTTCTCCTTATTCTCTGAATCCCCCATTCTTTCAACAAATGTTTATTGCTTTACCTCTTAAGTGGCAAACACTTTTGAACTTGGAAGTCACAAATCCGAGGTCCTCTTCTCTTGTCTTCCTCTCCAGATGACAGGCTCCTGTATGGATACCAGGGCTGTGGGGACCTGTGCCTCTCCATGTCTTTCTTCAGACAAAGTGTTCAAGTGGATTTTGTATGCTGCAATGACACCCCTTTCTGTAACAGATTTTAGAGACTTGGCCCTTTAGCCCTTTTCTCCCATTTAGCCCTTTTCTGTACTCCTGCAGCCTCAAAGGACGGGGCCATCCTTCCCCAGCACCGTTCAAGCCCCGAAGCCTGCTCCTACTAAGCTACGGGTGGTGACGTTTCCACAGCTTCACCCACCAGACCGATGCTTCCTGTTTCCCATCGCCCCTGCTGCTCTTTTTCTCAAATTCCTGTCTCCCCCCCCCTTTCTCTCTCTGTACCCACATCCCTCCTCGCTTCCCTTGTCATTGGCTGGCATATAACAAGCTCTCCCTCCTCCCCCTTTTCCTTCCTCTGACAAATATTTTCTGACGGCTAAGCCCGGGAGTTCGATGCTGATTAGAGAGCAGTGAATAAAACAGACCTGATCTCTGTCCTCAATCAATGTGCCTTCATTTTAGTGGCTCCTTTTCTGCCAGGTGACCAGGGTCACAATAGCTCCAGTATCTTGCCTCGTTCTTACTCACAGGACTTAAGGCTGGAAGGGACTCCTTCACCAGCCCCTCTGTCTCACACACACACACACACACACACACACACACACACACACACACTCTTTTTCTCTGTCTCCCTCAGTCTTCCCCCCTTTCCACTGTGTAGCTTTTTCTGAGTAAATCTTGCATCGTGGTGTTGCTTAGATTTTTGTTTTTATGTTTAAATTAAATGAGTAAATATTCAATTTAGGAAAAATATAAAATAGTGATCAGAATAGACAACCCCACCCTACCATGCAGAGACATACCTTGTTTTAGGGCTTATGGTATAACTCCTTAAGTTATCACATTTGCTTAAAATAAAGTGCCTTTTTTTCCTGCTGTGTTCAAGATTTGCTCTCTATCTTTGGTTTTAAGCAGTTTGATGTTTGTGGTGATGTTGTTTTCAGTGCTCATCTGTTACAGATTCTTTCAGCTTCTTTGGGTCTGTGTTTTGCTGCTTTTCATTATTTTTCGGAAATGGTGCCTATTATGTTTTTAAGTATATATTCCACCTCATTTTCTGTTTCTTCTCTGTCTGGGGAACTAATTGAGTATGTTAGAATGTTTGGTATTATCCTGCAGCTCTTGGATGCTGTGTGCTGGTTTATTATTGTTATTATTTATTACTTTATTATATCTCCTCATGTTTCAGTCTAATTTCTATTGCCCAATCTTCAAGTTCACTGATTTTTTCCTCCACTGTATTGAGTCTACCGATGAGCCCATGACAGAAATTCTTTACCTCTGATATTGTGTTATTTTATTTCTAGCATCTCCGTTTGACTCTTTCCTAGAGATTCCGTTTCTTCTTTCAAATCCTTCATCTGTTCATGCATCCTAACTTTTCTGTTCAATCTTTTTAACATATTATAGTTAATGTCCCTGATTAATAGTTCCAACAACAGGCCATTGCACAGTTCAGTTATGATAGTTACTTTATCTCTTAACAATGGGTTGGGTTTTGTTTTTTTTTTGTTTGCTTTTTTGTGTTTGTAATTTTTATTTTATTTATTTTTTTAATGTATTTATTTTTGAGAGAGACAGAGACAGAGACAGAGTGTGAGCAGGGGAGGGGCAGAGAGAGAGAGGGAGACACAGAATCCAAAGCAGGCTCCAGGCTCTAAGCTGTCAGCACAGAGCCTGATGCTGGTTTTGAACCCACAAACTGCG